TATGGTACAGTGGGTTAACGCCCTGTCCTGAAGTGCCAGCATCCCATATGAACGCCGGTTCAAAACCCAGCTGCTCCACTTCCAATCCAGCTCTCTGCTATGGTCTGGGAAAGCAGTAGAAGATGGCCCAAGTCCTTGGGCCCCTGTACCCATGTGGGAGACCCGGAGGAAGCTCCTGGCTCCTGGCTTTGGATTGGCACAGCTAATGACCAATTGGGGAGTGAACCATTGGATGGAAGACATCTCTGTCTCTCTCTCTCTGCATCTCCTCTCCCTCTGTGTAACTCTTTCAAATAAATAAATTTTAAAAAAGACGCACACACAAACACAGATGGGGAACAGGTGTCTGCCACACTGTCATTTCAGGATCTCGTCTGTAGCAACATCTAGAGAGGCTGCTCGGGGAAGTGGCTGAACAACCACACCCTTCTTCTCTTCACATGTCCCGTGGCTGCCCTTCCCAGGGCCTGGGACATCCCTGTGGAGCCAGGCCCCCTTGCTCTGTCCAGGAGCTGCACACGTTTTGGGGGTACTGGAAGGGGCAAACCAAAGCTGCTTGTCCTTTGTGCCTTCTCACTGTTGACCCCGCCACTGCCCTCATCACCCAGGAGGAAACCATGGGCCTAGGCCTCTAGGCCATGACAATATGCGCCATTGTCTTTTGCATTTTCCACACTAGCTACAATTGAATGTATTCACACACACACACACACACACACACACACCAGGATGTGCAACTTGAAATGAGTGAATTCAATCCTTCCTCTACCGCCTGTGACCCTGCATGGTCATTCTGTCCGGGAGCACAGCAGCAAGAACCTGCAGGTAGAGGACGCAGATTCTGGGGAGGTGATCAGAGGAGCCTTTGCCCTGGAGCCACCTGAAGGAACGTCCTGTCTGTGATTAGGTCAGCCTGACATCTGAGACACAGTGTTCCAGGCTGGCCCAGCGAGATAAAGGGGAGGCCTGCAGCCGCGAAGCCTGGATCCCGGCACTGGCATCCTTTTCACATACTCTGCAGTCTGACTCAAACCTGATGGGAGCACAGAGACCAAAGAACACGGAGTCACAGTTCTCTGCATGGGCCACTTGTCTGAGAACTTGGCTGGAGATGCAGAGATGCCAGGCCAGGGTGCCCACGACAAAGGTACAGACAGAATTCCAATGAGGAACAGGGGGTTAGCTGGCACTTGACACAGTGGCATCTCATACTGGAGGGCTGCTTCAAGTCCCAGCTGCTCTGCTTCTGATCCAGCTATCTGCCAGTGTGCCTGGGAAGGCAGCAGCAGATGGGCCAAATGCTTGGGCCCCTGCCACCCATGTGGGAGACCCAGACGCAGTTCCTGGCTCCTGACATCAAAATGGCCCAGTCCAGGCTGTTGTGTCTCTCTCGCTCTCTCTCTCTCTCTCTCTGATGCTCTGCCTTTCAAGTAAATTTTTAAACTTTGGGGAAAAAATCCCTTTGCCTCCTGCAGCTGACTTAGCAGTAAAGCTTGGGAGGCAGGAGGCTCTGTGTACACAAGTCCAAGCAACCGGGAAGCATCAATCTCAGAATCTGAGCTGGAGGGAACTTCAGCTCACTGAACAAATGGGTAAACAGAGGTCAGTGATCTTAAGTGGCTTCCGTGAGATCAGGCAGCCTGTGCCTGCCACGGAGGACCTGTCGGGACCTGGTTTCCTAGCTCCCAGGTCACTGTTGTCGCCCTGATACCATGGCATCTACGTACACATTCGCTTCCTCCAAAGAGGTGTGTCCCGGCACTCCCCGGATGCTTCCAGAACCGTGCCCTGGCCACCAATGACTAGTGCATACCTACAGGCTGACTGATCTGTGAACACGACTGCAGGCTGTGGAATAGGACAGCGGTCTCTACATCACCCAGGGGCCCCTGTGTTGGAGGCAGGGGAGGAGACCAATGTTGAAAAAAAAAAAATCCTGAATCCCACGTAACGTCAGACTACAAATCCTACAGGACAGCAGGCAAGGGTGTAGGGAGCAGGGAGGGGAATGCAGCCTCACTTCCCACTCCTCCCCACTGTCCAGGCCCCCCCCCCCTGCTTTTCTGTGCTTCTCCTGTGACTTTTATGCCTTCTCTCCCACATTCATTTTATCCAGGTTCATCTCCACAGAGATACTGGGAAGGACAGGAAGACACTGTGTGACTGGGCTTCCAGCCTCCAGGGGCGTCGGGGACAGACATCCACAGGAAGGATGTCATCTCTGTGCTAGTCCTAGGACAGACAGGAAGACACAGGTCAGGCCCGGGGAACTCCCAGTGGGCTGCGAAGGTAAAGGACAGACTCAGAGTTCACAGCAGGGATAAAGGAGTGTGATGCATGCATGGGAATCTGCAAAATCTACCATTCCTGGGGCCCGGGTGGTGGCAGAGCAGCTTAAGCCGCTGCTGCCTGCAACCCCCGGCATCCCAGAGGAGCACTAGTTCGAGTCTGGCTGCTCCACTTCTAATCTCACTCCCTGCTGATGCATCTGGGAAAGCAGCGGAAGATGGCCCAAGCGCTTGAGCCTCTGGAACCCATGTGAGAGATCCATATGGAGTTCCTGGCTCCTGGCTCCAGCCTGGCCTGGCCCTGGCTATTGCAGCCATTTGGGGATGAAAGATCTCTTTCTCCCTCTGTCTGTCTCTTTTTCTCTCTCTGTCCTCTACCTTACAAATAAGTAAAAGTCTTTTTAATCTATAATTCCTGAGGACTTAGGAGCAGTTAGAAACCCCCCGAATGACCCCACCCCAGCCCCAGCCTGAATTAACCATGCAGACTACGCTCATGCTTGCAGTACTAGGTTTTATTGTTGTTTTAGGACGCCATTATTTCTTTCCAAAGAATACCAAAATAGTGACAAAACTAAAAATTGGCAGTGTACAGGTATTCCTTGCATTTGTGACGTGGTACTGTCTTTATTTAAAATTACATTGTGGGGAGATAAGCATCACCTGTTTAGTGTTCGGGGCTTCTAACAATCTTAATTTGGCTCTGCAACTACCCATCCAAAAAGAAAATGGAATTTTGGGGCTGGCGCTGTAGCGCAGTGGATAAAGCCGCCACCTGAAGTGTCAGCATCCCATATGGGCTGCTCTACTTCCGATCCAGCTCTCTGCTATGGCCTGGGAAAGCAGTAGAAGATGGCGCAAGTCCTTGGGCCCCTGCACCCATGTGGGAGACCTGGAGGAAGCTCCTGGCTCCTGGCTTCAGATCAGCACAGCTCTGCCCGTTGTGGCCAACTGGGGAATGAATCAGAGGATGGAAGACCTCTCTCTCTTTCTCTCTCCCTCTCTCTCTCGCTGCCTCTTCTCTCTCTGTGTAACTCTTTCAAATAAATAAATCAATCTTTTAAAACTGGGAGTTTTCACAGATTAACCAAGTACAAGAATTTACAAAACACTGGCTACCACCAGGGCCCCTAACTTAAAGAGTTCACAAAATTCACGTGGAGGAAGCATTCTGAGGACAAACAAGTGATAAACCCAAAATAGGAGACAAGAGCTGCTATGTACATAAAGTAGATGGGAAAGGTGTTGGTGACGATGTGGACTTAGAAAGAGACCCAAGAATGATCCGAAGCTTGCTTGCATGCATGTGTGAGTGTGATCTCTCACTCACTCGCTCTCTCTTTCTCTCTCTCTCTCCGTGTGTGTGTGTGTGTGTGTGTGTGTGTGTGTGTGTTTGCGTGTGTACGTACTCGATGTAGCATAAAGCATGGTATGCACCTGGGAAGGTGGAGAAGTAACAGGTGAAACAGCACACGCAGCAGAAGTCCCAACTGGCCAATGTCAGACACTTAGGAACACTCCTGAACTAGAGAAAAATGCATCATAAAGAAGTAAAGACCAAATATTAAAGGGGCTCAGCTGGCCGGCACTGCGGCTCACTAGGCTAATCCTCCGCCTTGCGGCGTCGGCACACTGGGTTCTAGTCCCGGTTGCCCCTCTTCCAGGTAGCTCTCTGCTGTGGCCCGGGAGTGCAGTGGAGGATGGCCCAAGTGCTTGGGCCCTGCAACCCCATGGGAGACCAGGAGAAAGCACCTGGCTCCCGGCTTCAGATCAGCGCAGTGTGCCGGCCGTAGCGGCCATTGAGGGTGAACCAACGGTAAAGGAAGACCTTTCTCTCTCTCACTGTCCACTGTCAAAAAAAAAATAAAATAAATTAAAAAAAAAAAAAGTTATGGGGATGGGCTAACATTGTGGTGCAGAAAGTTAATTGCCACTTGTGACACCACCAGCATCTCATGTTCAAATCTCAGATGCTCCACTTCTGATCCAGCTCCCTTCTAATGCTCCTGGGAAAGCAGTGGAATATAACTAAAGTACTTGGGCCCCTGCCACCCACGTGGGAGATCTGGATGGAGTTCCAGGCTCCTGGCTTCAGCCTGGCCCAGCCCTGGCTGTTGCAGCCATTTGGTGAGTGAATTAGCAGACAGAAGATCTCTGCCTCTTCTCTAATTCTGCCTTTCAAATAAATATTAAAAATTCACCGATGGGGCACAAAGAACGACAAATGCCTACCACAGTGAACTCGGCTAGTTATGTGGTAGCTTATATTAAAACTATTATGTTGAAATTAATTTGAATTTTAGTTGCCACTGAAAATTTCAAATTTCTCAAGGTTCTCTTGCAGATTTAGAAGTTGGATCACTATGCCAGAAACTCATGACATATAATGTACTAAATGACTAAGGTAGATGTGGATAATTTATAAAGTAGTAATTAAAGAGACTGGGCAGATATACAAATTAAACTATATCATAATATATGGCATTTAGATACCTGTAAGTTCAAACATGGTCTTTATATTCATCCACCTAATCCCACAGGTAGAACAGGGCAGAGTTTCATGACTGCTTTGAATTCTTATGGTCCTGTTAAACATCCACTTATGCAGTTCTTTGTATCTTATATTCTCTAACTCAACTTACCTTATTTAATAGCACTTTTATCACAGAACTCCAGTCCTAATTTTATTTAGTAAAATAATACCACCAAAGATAAAATGTTATTTCTTTATTTATGTTAAATAAAAACATGAGAAAATCCTTTTGTAAAAAGGGTCAAAATATTCCTGTCTCCAAACCAAGTCCATGGATGCAAACAATGTTGAGCTTTCCCCCCAAGGGTCACAGTGCACGTTCATGTCATAACAACCTACAGAGACAACAGAGGTTCAGGTCCCTCAGTTGCCACTTCAAAGAAAGTCACATGCAATATTTGGGAAAAGCAAGAACAGATCACAAGCTTGAATATTTTTTGGAAACATCCATTGCTCTGGCAATGAACTTCAGCAATGGATTTTTTGTGTTGCCCTGCTAAATTTTTAAGCCATATGTATCACTGAACTTCAGTGGTACAACTTTTCACATTTCCAGAAACCATGTTAATTTGCAGTACAATTCTTAAGTAGCTGAAAGGGCTGAATTTTATAATTTTTAAAATTACATTTAATAGCACTAACATTGCTGGATTTTGGCCAGTAGAAACAAGACCCCATAGAATTGCCATTACCCAAACATAATTGGGTACATATTTTCAACTTAACTGTAGCTCCCCCATTCGTGGAGGAACGACACTGGACCCTGCACTGTTCTTTTTGCCCGGCCCTTCCCGGGTTAGCTGCCATCCCTCACTCGCGGAGGAACGACGCCCTCCCGGGTTAGCTGCCGGCCCCCGCCCCACCACCTCCGCGGAGAGGCAGCACCCCCGCCGCTTTCCTCGCTTCCGCGGAGCAGCACACCGCCGGCCGGCTCTCTCAGGGGCTGCTCAGGTGTTCCTGGTGCATGTTGTCTCTCTCCTCCTTTATAGTCCTCTTCCACCAATCCCAACTCTGCTACCCACACGCCGAGCACGCTGCTCTCCTCCAATCAGGAGCAGGATCAGCTCCTGCCGCTTGTTAGTCGAATTGGTGAGGCAGCTGCGTAGAAGTTGTTTACTCCTTCTCAGCGCCATATGGTGGGAGATCAGATGCATAGAATTAGTCTTAGTTCCAGTAACTTAGTCTAGTCTCAGTTGCTCCTCACAGTTCCCCCTTTCTTTTTATTCTTTGGCGTTGATACGCGCCTGTCTTCGGTGCCCCGCGGCACACACTCTGCTCTGCTCTGCTAGAGTTGCCCACAGGTGCTTAGACCGAATCCAGGTCCTCTCTTCGCCATGTTGTGGGGAGGCTTTTAGGTGCTGATGCGTGCCTGTGTTTGGTGCCCTGTGGTGCATGCTCTGCTCTGCTCGAGCTGCCCACAGGTGCTTACTGCCTTACTAATCAGGCAGACCGAATCCGAGCCCTCTCATTGCCGTGTTGTGGGGAGACTTTTATTGGTGTTGATACGTGCCTGTCTTCGGTGACCTGTGGCGCATGCGCTGCTCGAGCTGCCCGCAGGTGCTTATCGCCTTACTAATCAGGCAGACCGAATCGGAGCCCTCTCATTGCCGTATTGTGGGGAGGCCTTTTTTATTTTTCTCTATTTCTATCTCTGGGCATTCCTATTTCTTTTACTTCTATCTCCCAGCATTTCTATTTCTATCTCTGGGCATTCCTATTTCTTTTACTTCTATCTCCCAGCATTCTTATTCCTCTCATTTTACTTTTATCTCTGGGCATTCCTATTTCTCTCATTTAACTTCTATACTTCTATCTCCGGGCATTCTTATTTCTCTTATCTTACTTCTATCTCCCTCCTATCTGCGTGGCTTCCCGGCTCCGCGCGCGCTCTGCAGTCTCCGCAATTGCCCCACACTTCTCTTATCTGCTCACGCCCCACGTGCTCTCCTATCTGCTCATGCCCCACGCGCTCTCTGCGCTCAGCAGCTTCCGCGAATCGGCCTAGTTACATTTCCGCTACCGGTTCAGTTTTCAGTCTAAGTTCCCCGGGCTAATCTGACGAATCCCAACCTAGCTTACATCTCCGCTTCCAGTTTAGTTTTTCGCCTTTTGCTCCCCGGGCTAACCTGAAGAATCCCAACCTAGCTTACGTCTCCGCTTCCAGTTTAGTTTTTCGCCTTTTGCTCCCTGGGCTAACCTGACGAATCCCAACCTAGCTTACGTCTCTGCTTCGGCCTACCCCCGCGGCTTCACTTTCCCTAGCTTATATTTTTCTCTCCCCAGTACTTTTCCTAGCTTTCTTCCAACAATATTTCTCTCTCATTTCTACTAGCTTCTCCCCACAGTCCGTATCTAAGTTTTTTTCTAGCTTTCACTTTTGCTTTCAATCTTAGATTTCTCCTAGCTTTTCCCCACAGTCTGTATCTGAATTTGTTTTTTTCTAGCTTTCACTTTCGCTTTCAATCTTAGATTTCTCCTAGCTTCTCCCCGCAGTCCGCAGTCCGTATCCGAGTCTATGCCTAGGCTTTCACTAGCTTCTTCCGGCACTTTTTCCGTCCAGCTTTTCCCTAGGCTCTCCCTAATCTCTCTCCAGTATTTTCCCACTTTTTCCCTCCTAGGTTTCATATCCAAGTCATGGCACCATTATGCCGCTCCTCCGCGGAGGCGCAGAGGTGGGGAGGCCAGCAGCTAACCCGGGACGGCGTCGTTCCTCCGGGAGTGAGGGAACGGCAGCTAACCTGGGAAGGGCCGGGCAAAAAGAAAAGCGCAGGGTCCAGTATCGTTCCTCCGCGAATGGGGAAGCGACACTTAACAGCTAGGTTCTGAATTAATTTGTCGTTTCTGATCTACCCTAAAGACTAAGCTTAAATCTCTGAAAACAAGTGATTCATGATTTCTATACCCACATGTTCCATAAATCCACTACAAACCCTACAGTCTGACTTAGCTTAATGACAAATTATTCATCCAAATAGGTCATGGCTGGCTCACTATTCTTAGCTCAGGCTGCAGAGTTTTTTCTATGACTGGAGTCACTGAAAAGAATTTCTCTGTTAGAGAAAGCAGACATTTTCATCTCTGGCAGACTGCCAAGATGCTACTTTATTACAGAATTTATGAACTAGTTTAATAACTTCTAGGCTTTATTAAAAGGGAAAGGGGAGAAAGAAAAACAAAGGATAATTTAATACAACCTCACGTCCCAAAACGCCCTAGTTTTTTAGTGCAAGATATGCTGCATCATCAAAGCACTTGAAAATTACCATGAAATTCTAGCAACAGAGTAATGAACTCAGAAGTAGTAATAAAAAAAAAGGAACAATCAGAGAGGCACACAATTTTTTTTAAAGGATTTTTATGCTATATTAAAAAGCCACAAAATAAAAAAGGGATAAACCAACATATATCTTAGAAGTCCTTCCAAGAGTCTCAGTATCAACAGTCACGAAGGCTTTTTCTTTTCTTTTTTCTTTTTTTTTTTTTTTTTACCATTCCTTCTCCTCTGCTCAGTCTGCAGTTAATTTAAGGATCACTGGAGATGACTTGCACTCTAGTTCTTAAAGTCAAACCTGCTCTGCCAAATCCAAAACCCTAAATTTATCCAAATTGTAGAAACATGCTTTTACCACACGTCCACCAAAATACCTCCCATTCAGATCAACAACAGCTAAAAGGCAAACAAAAAGACAGGCGGTTAATAAAGATATCTTGTAAGACATCATAACAGCATTAACTTTAACAGTAACTTCATTTATAAGAGTTAAGGTCACAAATTCAACTTTTGTTTGTTTTAGCTGTACAACCTACCTTTAATTGCTGACTCAACTCTCTCAAATTCTAAAAATATTCGTACTGCTTCATCATCAGGGGCACCAGGAATCTGAAAGAGAAACGACAATAAGAGTAAAAGGAATCGGGGCTGGCGCCATGGCTCACTTGGTTAATCCTCCGCCTGCAGCGCTGGCATCCCATATGGGCGCTGGGTTCTAGTCCCGGCTGCCCTTTTTCCAGTCCAGCTCTCTGCTGTGGCCCGGGAGGGCAGTAGAGGATGGCCCAAGTGCTTGGGCCCTGCACCCGCATGGAGACCAGGAAGCACCCGGCTCCTGGCTTCAGATCGGCACAGCGCTGGCTGCAGTGGCCATTTGGGGAGTGAACCGACGGAAGTAAGACCTTTCTTTCTGTCTCTCTATAACTTTACCTGTCACCAAAAAAAAAAAAAAAAAAAAAAAAAAAAAAAAAAGTAAAAGGAATCATTTGAGATTAGCATTTAGATTTACATGATCTGCATCAGAGTAAACATTCTACTCATTAGCATACATGGACAACAGTAGTCCAAAACCAAACAAGTTTAAATTGTCATCAAGGATTATGCTGAATGCTTGTTTTGTAGTTGGGTGCTGGGTACACACAGCTAAGCAAGGTGGTTTTTGACTACACCATCTGATGGACAAGCAAATACTTAAGTGGTCTACAAACAGCAATATAGTAAGGAAAAAGGAAGAAATGGGAGCAGACATTTTAGATTTGTGCTCTCATCACTTTTCACTTTAGATCTCAATTTTGACTGACTAGCTTTCTAAGTCCTCTGTAATATGGCTCTTCCATCTATGTAAACATGTCTCCTCCTAATCCTCACATCCACCCATTCCATCTACATTACTTCCAAGAAGCTTTTTCCCCAATCTGAATTCCCTTCCCCAGTCCTGCCCACAAAACTGACCTAGTCATTTCAAAGCTCAGCTCATATCTGCTGACACTGTTCACACAGCCACCTCTATTTTTTGCTGACTTAATTCTCTTTTTCAGCTTCTATACTTACAGTCAATACAACCAAGTTCAGCAACTGAATGTTCCCTAGCTGTTTTACCTGTGTTTATATTTCTTCAATTGCACAGATCAGAGAGTATATAATGTTTCCTGCATCCCAAATACTCTCAATATAGTACAGAGCATATGAGTCACTACATAAATACTTGCTAAATGACTGAAATCAAAGGCATGATTAAATAGCTAAACTACTCAAGCACACTACAATCGAGGTATTTAATCACTACACTGATCCTCAGTCATAAAATGAAACATTTCTGAGGGCCGGCATTGTAGCACACTGGGTAAAGCTACCACCTGCAAAGCTAGCATCCCATCTGAGTGCCAGTTTGAATCCTGGCTGCTCCACTTCTGATCCAGTTCCCTGCTAATGTGCCTAGGAAAGTAGCAGAAGATAGCCCAAGTGTGTGGGACCCTGGCACCTACTTGGGATGGCTCCTGGCTTCTGGCTTCAGCCTGGCACAGTGATTGCGGCCATTTTGCGGAGTGAACCAGATGATGAAAGATATTTCTGTCTCCTTAATTCTACCTTTCAAATAAATAAATAAATCTAAAAAAATTTATTTCTTCACTAAATCACGTTTGACATCATTCTTGTTTTTACGTTTAAAACTGTCACAATAAGAGAAATGTTGATTACTGTCTGTTGTCTTTTGGCAGTAAGACAATATGTCATTTACAGCAATATCATGTACTTGTAGAAAATGTTTTGTAAACTGCCCATTACAACTTGGGTTATAAGTAGCAAAAGAAAACTCGCTTACTTCAAATATCACACATTTTCCAACTTTGCCATATTTTTCACATTCTTCCTTGGTTTCAACTTCCAAGTCTTCATCTACCTCTCCTGCACCAACCATGTTCTATAAGCAAACAAAATAATTTAAGCTCAGTATAATTTACAAATACATAACAAATAAATGAATTTTATTCATAACAGCAAATGTTTTCAATCTCCAAAGACATAACGAAAAATACTGTCCCTGAAACACTCAAAGGTTGGTATTTCTTAAAACACCAAAACAATATGTTGTTTTTAAAAGTTTTAAGAGCATCTATAAAGCACCAAAATGCATAAACTCAGCTTAAGTCCTAGCAATTTCAAAGTAATCACTCAATGTACTCTCAAACACTGTTTTTAGCAAAGAAACATAAACATTAGTAAAAAGGGAATCTGAAACCAGCCTTAAATAGGGTCTACCCAAAGATACTATTTGCCAAAGTATTATTTTTGGACTTCTTTAACTGTAAATGGTATGGGGGCGGGGTGAAAGCAATGTTGGTCAGGGTCTAGGATGAGGGAACACAAAAATTAAGGCAGGCAGCCAGGTTTTTTTCTTTTGCTTCTTACCCTTAGTAGGACGACTTTAGTGGGACACTTAAGTATTTCAGTCAATGGATTTGAATCCGACTTCTTAGATGCATCTGTGTAAAAACATATTACAGACATGTCACAGAAGTGAGGCCTACTTACAATGACCAATTTAACTTCAAGAGCAATGTTCATTATGTTCTAGAATCATAAATAAGCATCTATATAATTTCTGAGCAAAAAATGTAGCCTTACATGCAATGAAGGCATTTGTTTTATGTTTGTATAATAATTACTAAAAATTTTTAGCTTCCACTATTACCTGCAACCTGCTCATTTCACTTTCACTTTCTAAAGGGCTGACACGGCATATGGGTCACAATGACGTGATTGTGAGAACTGGCGAGTAACAGTCCAAAGTCATTAGCCCAGCATAACAAGCAGTTAATTATGGCTGACAGGCTTGAGATATTAACACAAATTGGCACTAACCACTGTTTTTTGCTAGATTCAGGCTGACTTGCTGCTTCCTGAGCTGCACATCAACAGGGCTGCCCGAAAAGTTTCCTTATTTTAAGAAAGGGAACTCAGCTAAGATGACTTAAAATTAACTCAATTTGCCTGCTTAAAATGCTACTATGCATTTGTCACATTCCTATATGCTCTCAGTGCAGACTGTAGAAATCAAAATAAAATCATCTATCAACAGACTGTAAAACTTTACATCTCACGGAGCAAGCAATCAACCACATCTATAATGAAAGGCTAGAGAAAGGGGGAAAAGGAGAAATGATTCACTGAACAGAAAGATATAACAGATAAAATAACAATAGACTACACACAGCTCTGTCCTTCATGCCACAAAAACATAATTATTTTATCAAGAAAACAAGATTCTTTGCCCAAAGTAGGTATGAAATAACTTTCCTCAGGACTGTTCATTTCCTGCCTAATTCCCATTGGTGTTTTCCTCCCAGAGGATTTCATCTTTCTATTAGCCATGTTCTGAAAATATAAAGATGAGCCTGAGGCCTCTGCATTTCACAAAACACAAGTAGAAATGCATCATAAATTTAGAATTACCGTATCACAGCCCGCTGGCCTTTCCAGCTGGGCTGAGGGAGCGCCGCCTCTTTGTAGACTTACCCTGAGATTCACCCTTCTCCATCGCGTCACCCACAATTATTTTGCCGCCCCGCTTGCTGGTCTTCTCCACTGACAACGCAGTGCTCAGTCCCTGCTCATGTTTTCCCAGACCTTGGCCTTCCCGGAAGCCGTACTTCTGCATGATCTTATGTGCTACCGTGCCACTAGGAGGAGAACGGAAAATGTTCCTTCACTTGACATCATCAACTATAAGTTGGATTTTATATCACTATGATCTCCTTCTAGAGAAAGAGAGTATAAATTCCACAAGGGCTTCAATGAAATCACAGATAATTAGCAGTGAGTCTTTAGAGGGAAACTGGAGATGTTCAGGATATCCTAAGCTAATGACTGCAATCCAGAATATTCTGTAATCTCTAGTTCTTATAGAATCTTCCCAATACCTCTGTGGAAAACACTAGACTTCTTGAGTCCTCCCAGAACTGCAGTTACATAGTTTATGACCGCAGTTTAGTGAAAAGAGTAGCCTGTCAAAAAATAAGCATCAAATTTCAGACAATAAAGATATAGCACAGAATTCCAATGAAGACTTTTAAATCAATGAACACTCAGAAATCACCTACTTAACAAACAGGAAACAGAACCAGATGATGACCTTATGGTTGACTAGAAGTAAAGCAAGACATGATATTCAGAAATTATTTCTGGGACTGGTATAATGGGTTAAGCTGCTGCCTCCAATGCTGGGATCCCATATGGGTGCCTGTTTGAGTCCCAGCTGCTGCACTTTCCATCCCGCTTCCTGCTAATGGCCTGGGAAAAGCTGTGGAATATGGCCCAAGTGCTTGGGCTCCTGCCACCCACATGAGCAACCTGGATGAGGGTCCTGGCTCCAGCCTGGCCCACCTCTGTTAGGGCCATTTAGAGAGTAAACCAGTAGATGGAAGCTCTCTCTCTCTCCCCCTCTCTTTGTAACCCTTTCCAATAAATAAATCTTGAGAAAAGGAAATTATTTCTGTGGGTATTAATGGCAGAAGTGGAACTAACGAAGCATTTGCTTCTTAGTCCACTGTTTTTACAATAGCATCACAGCTTTCACACTTGAGGTGCCACATGAGTCTCAAGGGCGCCCCCCAGTGACCACTGCTGCTCAAAATGACCCACAAAACCCTGCTTCCACCAGATCTGTTTCCGAATTTCATGTATTTAAGAGTTTTCATTTGAATAAGCTAATCTAGGAGTAAAAAGACTAAAATATTTTCAATTACACCACATTACATCTTTCTTAAGTTAAAGGTATAATTCCTGTTTAAAAGGCAAGTCAGCAAAATGTCAATTTTTACCATCAAGCAAGAAAAAAAAGCTGAAGTCTCCAGCACATATTCTATGGAAACCCTGTCCAATAAGATTTACAGCAATGATGGAAAAGCTCTAGATCTACACTGTCAAATACGGTCAGCATCAGCTGCATCTGGTTACTGAGAGTACTTGACACTTCACTAGGGTGACAGAGAAACTAGACTTTCACATGCCCCTGTGGCCCATAGCTACCATAAAGCGTCATGCAGGATAGGAGACGGACACCAAGAATTAGAAACTCAAAACATTCCTGGTGTGCAGGAACCCCAGACCCAAAAAGGCGTGGCGGCTCAAGTGCCTCACTGGCAGCATTTCTATGAAAGGCAGCATCCTGGTAAGCAACACAGAACAAAGACCTCAGTGTGCTGCTGCTTCATTTGATAGTTCTTTCACACAATCAGAGCAGACCAGAAAAACATTCCCTTAACCAAAAAGCACACTAAATACACCAAATCCAGCCAGGTGGGAAAAAGAAATCCACGAGCCCCACCTGAATGTCAACCTTTAAATTGATCTTTGTTTGCTGGCAAACAAATACCGAATTATAGTGAGAATGACTAACAGTTTTTAGACTAAAGGTATAGAAACATGACCTTAAAGCAAATGACCTTTTTATTAGAAGGAAAAAAAGTTACTTACCCTTTGGAGATAACCCAAGTTAACGCTAATTCATTTTATTTGTGCAAATGTTATTAAAATTAATGTAAATAATAAATGTAGTTATCAGAAACTTCCTATCCAGAGAAATAATACTCAACATCTAAACCATTCAAAACTTGTTGTGTACAAACCAGTATCACCTTGAGCACAAATCCCTTGAGAAGGGCACTGGGCGACTGAACTCACCAAGTGTCTCCCTGTAGTCCTCAATGTCCCCATTTTCAAACAAGCTGAATCTACGCAAAGGGACTGCCCATACCTCAAACTGTTTCTCGAGGCACTTTTACATTTGCTTAGATAGTAACACTTAAAATCATTACCCCATGTTAGCAAGGAAAGAGTTGCTAGGCCCAGTTGGAGATCTCGGTCTGTCCTGTTCTTCATACACTGGGGGAGGAATGGCAGCTTTGGAAGACTGGGATCGAGGTCTGGAGTCTTCTTCATAAGGAAAATCTCGGGGTACTGGTGGAGAAAAGCAAACCAGCTTCACCAAGACACCATAGAAAAAATTTTGAAATTGCACCTGTATCAATTACTTATCTTGAATTAATTCAAACTACATTTCTGGTTTACCACAAGAAGTGATCAAATCACAAATGTAGAACACTGATTCCTAATTTTAACACCACTTCTACTGTCCGTATCTCATCAAACGTCCTTTTTACACCTTACTGAAATTTCATTCACCTTTTAAAACTGACAATTCTAGCTTGAATTCATAAGATTTTCTGCATGTTTCAAGGAAATAAATATAACTCTCTCCTAACTCTCACAGTATCTATGGATACTATCTAACCTTTCTATTTCCTTAGTAGACCACAAAGGTCTTTAATATCAGGGACCACATTTCAACTCTAACTACACTTTAGAACCAATGGAAGCTTTAAAGCTATGCAGATGCTTGGACCCCATTCCTGGAGATTGGTTTCAACTGTAACATACTGTCATATGTTTTTAATAGACAACAGGTATATTAAAAATCACCTTCTTTAAATAGTAACATAAATAGTGCGACAGGTATGAGCAGTTTAGAGAAAGCTACATTTTCTTGGGGCAGTTTAGTTATGATCCAGTCCAGAGCAATGGGAAATGATCCAGATGATACAGAAAAGTTCAGTCCCAATCCCCACTGGGAGAAGAAACAGTGTGTGGGCACCATACTTACACAGGCACACACACTCACTCTGAAACAACCTACTGGGAACAAATTAACCAAAGAAAGTACTGCCCTTTGTGGAAGGTCATAAATAAAACAGCTATCAGTTTAAAAAGGTCTAAAAGTAGCAGGGGTGGAAGACAGCAGCAGCTCTGGCTCACCTTCAGCCTGAAGGGTCAGGCTGCTTCCTTCTAAACCCAGGAAACAGTGATCCAACCTATGAATCCTCATAACTAGGTTAACAATTTATAGCAGAATAAAAGGGGAAGAAATGGTTCTACGTACATTCTTTGTCTTTCTCTACAAGAGAAGTAGGTGGGGCAATGGCAGCACCGCCCATACCTGCAAAAACAAATACACAGATGAAAGGAGGGAAGAAAAATGTTTCCGATGCCTGACTCCCAAGGACTTTAACAGGCTCTGTTCTTTCTATCAACATATCCTTAAGGGGAGGGAAAAAAAGAAAAAAGACGAAGACCTGGTACTTCCATCTTTCTGCTAATCCCTAAATAACTGAGTATCTGAAGTTAGGATTACAAATGTAGAAAACAAGTCAGGTGTTTAGCACAGTAGTTACAATGCTGGTTAGGATGCCCACATTCCATGTCAGAGTCCCTAGGTTAAACCTCAGCTCCTGATTCCAGCTTCCTATTGATGCGGAAAGCAGCAGTGATGGCTCAAGTAGTTGGGTCCCTGCTACCACATGGGAGACTCGGACTGAGATCCTGGCTCCAGGCTTCAGCCCAGAATTCAGGTTGTTGTGGGCATTTGGGGAGTAGGCCAATGTTTGGGAGCTCTGTCTCTCAAAAAAATAAACTTAAAAAAAGAATGAAGAGAACGGGTAACATCCAGACAGACAAAACTGTTTCTTTTGAAAGGCATTCAGGAACCTCAGAATTGGGGTTGGCACTATGACATTAAAGCTACCAACTGCAATGACCGCATCGCATGTGAGTACTGGTTTGAGTCCCGGCTGTTCCATTTCCAATCCAGGCCCCTGCTAATATGCCTGAGAAAGCAGCAGCAGATGGCCCAACTGCTTAGGCCCCTGGACCCACATGGGAGAACCAGATGAAGCTCCTGGGTCCTGGCTTCAGTTTGGCTCAGTCCTTGCAGCCACGTGGGGAGTGAACCAGAGGATGGAAGCTGTAACTGTGCCCTTCAAGTAAATAAATCTTAACAACAACAACAAAACCTAGAATGTAGTTACCAAGTGATTTTCAAGGAAAAATTACGCATTCCAGACTTATACATGATCTCCTCTGGTCTTCATAAACCTTTGAAGTAGATTACTATTTCCAGTTTACAGATGAGAAAATGGTCAGAAATGAATAAACTGGCAGAAAAGAAATAAACTCAGTTCCCTATCACACCAAAGCTTTCCCCAATGACACAGCAGGTTAGTCCTGGAACTGAACACCAATTTGGAAGTGTGAGTCCTTCTGGCTCCTGAAGAACCTGGCAGGTGCTGTCAGTATTCCTTCCTGTTTATGTTATTGCATGGAAAATGGGGGATACAAATCAACCAAAAAGGTAAGGTTTTTTTTTCCCATTTTCTATCCAACAATTGAAGGCAGAACACAGGCAGAAGCTATAAGGAATTTTCATTACATGTATATCCTACCATATTAGTATAGATTAAAAAAAGTAAAATGGAAATTTTAAAAGTTGTTTATAAATTATGCTGCATGAATTTAAAATATTTCACAATAGTAATTACTTTAAATTCAGTATAGATGCATTGTGATTAATCAGACTGGCTGTTACAAATTACTGAGGATAAATATAAATCCACAGAAAGTCTCCATAAGTATTTTTTTTAAAGATTTTATTTGTTTATTTGAAAGGCAGTTACAGACAGAGAAAGGGAGAGGCAGAGAGAAAGGTTTTCCTTCCGCTGATTCACTCCCCAAATGGTTGTAACGGCCGGGAACTGCACTGCTCCAAAGCCAGGAGCCGGGAAAATGCTTTCCGAGTCTCCCAAGTGGGTGCAGGGGCCAAGGACTTGGGCCATCCTTGACGGCTTTCCCAGGCCATAGCAGAGAGCTGGATTGGAAGAGGGGCGGCCAAGACTTGAACCGGCACCCACATGGGATGCTGGCGCCACAGGCAGAGGATTAGCCTACTGCGCCACAGCACCGGCCCCCATATATATTCCTTTTGAATTACTCCTGTGGTAGTTTTTTAATCTTTTTTTTTTTTTTTTTTTTTTTTATTTTTTGACAGGCAGAGTGGACAGTGAGAGAGAGAGACAGAGAGAAAGGTCTTCCTTTGCCGTTGGTTCACCCTCCAATGGCCGCCGCTGCAGCTGGCGCACCGCGCTGATCCGATGGCAGGAGCCAGGATCCAGGTGCTTTTCCTGGTCTCCCATGGGGTGCAGGGCCCAAGCACCTGGGCCATCCTCCACTGCACTCCCTGGCCATAGCAGAGAGCTGGCCTGGAAGAGGGGCAACCGGGACAGAATCCGGCGCCCCGACCGGGACTAGAACCCGGTGTGCCGGCGCCGCAAGGTGGAGGATTAGCCTATTGAGCCACGGCGCCGGCCAGTTTTTTAATCTTTTAAGACCTGAGGTGATTATTGATGGGACTCTGTGAAAAGCAGACTAATAAGGTCAGCATAAAAAATTCAGGTTGACTACTACAAATCTGCTACTAACCAAGTTAAAATATGAGCATGCCCTATCTGTTAATAGCAGTACAGTAGACCCTCTTTATCCACAGGGAATATGCACCCAAGACATTTCCCAGACACCTGAAACACTGCACATAGAATCAAACACTATATGGCTGCTGGTTCGAGTCCCAGCTGCACCACTTCTGATCCAGCTGTCTGCTATCGCCTGGGAGAGCAGCAGAAAAGATGGCCCAAGGCCTTGGGCCCCTTTACCCATGTGGGAGACCTGGAAGAAGCTCCTGGCTCCTGGCTCCTGGCTTTGATCAGCTCAGCTTTGGCCGTTGTGGCCAACTGGGGAGTGAACCAGCAGATGGAAGACCTCTCTCTCTGTCTCTCTAACTCTGCCTTCAAAAAAAAAAAAAAAAAGAGATCAAGCACTATATAACTTTTTTCCTATAATATATGTACTCCTATGATAAAGTTTAAGAGATTAGCAACAATAACTAATAATGCAACAGGACAATTACAATCACATACATTAACAAGTTATATATAATATGGTTTTTCTCCCTTTCACAAAATATCTTATTGTACTATACAATATATTTTGTATATATTTTTTGTATATATATATATATACACACAAAATATCTTTAGTCTGTGGTTTACCATGTGCAACTTATCAGATACCTCAGAAAGCAAAACTGCAGGTAACGGGGACACTAGCATATCCATGGATATAATATTGGCTACAAGGGTCAATAGAAGCTCTTTTTTTTTTTTTGACTGGCAGAGTTAGACAGTGAGAGAGAGAGAGACAGAGAGAACAGTCTTCTTTCCGTTGGTTCACCCCCAAAATGGCTGCTGCGCTGATTCGAAAGCCAGGAGCCAGGTGCTTCCTCCTGGTCTCCCATGTGGATGCAGGGCCCAAGCACTTGGGCCATCCTCCACTGCCTTCCCGGGCCACAGAAGAGAGCTGGACTGGAAGAGGAGCAACCAGGACAGAATCTGGCGCCCCGATTGGGACTAGAACCCGGGGTGCCAGCGCCATAGGCGGAGGATTAGCCAAGTGAGCCGTGGCGCCAGCCTAGAAGCTCTTTTTATAAAAGGCATTATAGTTCCTAACAACGTTTAAGAAAAAAATAAAAGTTTTTAATAATGTTCTTAAAAAAAGAACAGTCAACTTATAAACTGGAAAGATGAGCTGTATAAACATTTAACCAATAAAAAATGCTAACAGAAATGAAACACCAGTTGCTCAACAGAGATAATGGATATGAAATACAACACAAGTGGCCAGCATTGTGGTGCAGCGGGTAAAGCTACTGCCTGCAGTGCTGGTAATACGGGTGCTGGTTTGAGACCTAGCTGCTCCTGGATCAAGCTTCTGGCTCCTGGCTTTGGCCCAGCCCAGCACAGGCCATTGTGGCCATTTTGCGGAGTGAACCAGTGGATACGAAGATCTCTCTCTCTCTCACATTCTGCCTTTCAAATAAAGAAAATAAACCTATAAAAAACAAAAGTGGTCCATGGTGCTTTGGCATAGTAGGCTAAGCCTCTACTTTAGCGCCAGCATCCCATATGAATTTATGTCTTGGTTGCTGCTCTTCTGATCCAGCTCTCTGCTTATGGCCTAGGAAAGCAGTGGAAGATGGCCCAAGTGCTTGGGTCCCTGCATCTGCATAGGAGACCCAAAAGAAGCTCCTGTTCCTGGCTTCAGATCAGCCCAGCTCTGGCCACTGCTGCCATTTGGGAACTGAACAAGTGGATAGAAGACCTTGCTCTCTGTCTCTCCTTCTCTGTTTGTTAACTTTACCTCTCAAAATAAATTAAATCTTTCACAAAAACAAATAATGATAATAATAATAATAATAATAAAGCATGCCCCATTCTCTCAATTCCCATTAGAACACTCCTAATAATTATTAAGAATTCATGTTGAGGGGGCCGACACTGTGGTGGTGTAGGTTAAGCCTTCACTTGCAGTGCCAGCATCCCATATGGGTGCTGGTTCAAGTCCTGGCTGCTCTTCTTCTGATCCAGCTCTCCACTTATAGCCTGGGAAAGCAGTGGAAGATGGCCCAAGGGTTTAGGCCCCTGCACCCACATAAAAGATAAGGAAGAAGCTCCTGGCTTTGGATTGGCCCAGCTCTCACCATTTGGGGAGTGAACCAGGAGATGGAAAATTTTCTCTTGTGTCTCACCCTCTGTCTGTAATTCTGCTTCTCAAAAAAAATTTCATCTTGAGGAATTTATCTGGGTTTGATCCCTGGCTCCCATTTGACTCCAGATTCCTGCTAATGCAGACCCAGGGAGGCAACAGTGATGGCTCAACTGACTGGGCTCCTGCCACCCACACTGAAGACCCAGGATTGAGTTTCTGGCTCTTATCTTTGGCCCTGATTCCAGGCCCTTGGGGCATCTGCAAAGCAAATCAATACACTGGATCTTTTTCTCAAGTAATTTTGGTTTTTGAAGAATATATCTCAAAAACAATTACAATTTTGCTCATAAAAGTATAGAGATGGAATGACTCTTCAAGCACCTAGCTCCAACTCCTGTCGTCCCACTTTCTCACTGACAGTTGAAAGCAATCAACACCCAGAAAGCTAAGTAGCTTCCTTAAATCCACGCGTGTAACTCACATGCATTGGTGTGCTTGACTCTACTTCCAGGAATGATGACCAGAAATACAACTGTACTCAGAAGCTCAAAAGAAAATATATGAGAACACAGTAGAAACTTAAATTGTTGTGCAGCAAATGCGGATTGCTGGGATTCCAGAAAGAAAAGCCACCTAAACCAATGTCAAATAAGCTACTTATCAACCTGAGTATAAAAAGCAAATAGTGGGACTACACCACGCTTGAAACATAATATTTCTATCAGTGCCTTACTTCTTTTCCTCCTCTCCCGCTCATAATCTTCATCTTCATCAGAATCTGGGTCAGGTCGCCTTGAAAACCCACTAGCTTCATGTCTATCTTTACGCCGCCTGTGAGAACAAAAGAAGTAAATATTCATCATAGGTGAGTCACACTAGAGATAGAACCTGTGATATCATCTTGCCTTTCCTCCTGGCCAGAAAATATTCAAATCCTCTTAAACAATAAATTACTACGAATTGGGGAGGGGGAAGGCACAGATGGACACAAGGACACAACTGTTTGAAGATTAAATTTAGCAAAGCATGAAAAGTGAGAAAACCTCAAAAGATAAAAATGAATAGGTACATGAGTACAGTTAGCAAGAAAAGTTTCCTTAACATTTACCACCTTCTATTATAAAGCCTATCAACATAGTAATAATTTAATAGTTTCAATTTTCTAGAAATGGTTCAATGAGTAACAATGCAATATTTAATAAACTATTTAATAACATAAAAACTTAAAAAAAAATCCTGCCACCCATACTTTTTAAAAATAAAAAGATGCATGTAAGTTTAAAGAAATTCCATCTTGCTCCAAAATAGTGAAGTTAGAAACATTTAAACCGTGGTACTTCTAGTAGTCATCGCACAGGAAAAACGCCTTCAACATCAGATCTCAAAATTATTTTTCTAATAAATCACTCAAAATCGGTACTTCAGGTTTTCAGAGTCTATAATGAAATTTACTCAGTCTGCTCACATGCCGAGACATCACAACTACAAACTCGGAAAAAAAATTTGATTCCTTCTGTTGACTGCTCAGACCAATCATGACAATTAATTTCAGTCTTAAGCACTGAAGTTCATTCTCTAATATTTTAATAAATATTTCAACTGCAAAAGAGCCCCAATCCAAACAAAGCCTTACTTTTCCCTTTCCTCTATTTCCTTTTGCCTTTCCAGCTCTCGCTGTCTCTGTCGTTCCTCTCTTTGGCGCTTCACTACTTTCTCATAATCATTAGGAAACATGGGATCATATTCATCAGCTAAGGGAATCAGAACTTCTCCTGCAGAAAATCCACTGGGAACAGGGTCCTGAGAAAGATAAAAACATCAAAATATTATCTCCATATCTTCCAGGATGACTCAGTCAGGTAGCAGCAGAATCATGACTTTTTTTTTTTTTTTTTTTTTTTGGACAGGCAGAGTGGACAGTGAGAGAGACAGAAAGGTCTTCCTTTTCCGTTGGTTCACCCCCAAAATGGCCGCTGCGGCCGGCACACCGCGCTGATCCAAAGCCAGGAGCCAGGTGCTCCTCCTGGTCTCCCATGCGGGTGCAGGGCCCAAGCACTTGGGCCATCCTCCACTGCACTCCCAGGCCACAGCAGAGAGCTGGACTAGAAGAGGAGCAACCGGGACAGAATCCGATGCCCCGACCGGGACTAGAACCCGGTGTGCCGTGGCGCTGGCCAGAATCATGACTTTTAACTTTTAGTTTAGCACTATATTATCCTAACACCCAAGAGCATTTATTCTTCAATAAGCCACTACCAAACAAAATTTAAGACACTAGTACTCTGAAGCAAAATTCTTGATTATTTACAGTAACAACAACAAATATTTCAATTTTTCTATACCTCTGGGAAAACTTAAAAGAAACAACATAAAGAAAACTTCAAACAAGCCATGGACAGCATAATCATTTTTGTAGTCATCACTGAGAATAACTTTAGATTCTGATTGCATTTCTGATCACATTGTGAATAACATATTATGGTTTCAGAAGCATTTTCCTGGTCTTCTTAAATCCTCTGGACACACATCTCTCCCCAGGTAGGCTGCATCTCAGCTTAACATCATAACTGAAGGTCCTCTAAGAACAGGTATGTGTGTGTGTATGTATCAAAGTCACAGATCAGGTGTGGGCTTACCTTTAGCCCAGCTGCTACATGTGGTGGTGTGTCCACAATTTGACGATCATCTGAGGAGCCACCTCGCTTCAGGTCAATGACTGGGGCAAGCACTGTACTTTGTTTTGTTCTTTGGCTCTAAAATGATCAGAAACAAGAGAAGTACACTGAAGTTTCAAATTAAAATTCATATTCTTTGTCACAAAATTTTTTTCTAATCTAATAAATCTTTGAGGCATGAGAAAACAATAACCTTAAAACAATTACCTTTTAATTAAATTACTACAATCATATACGAATTTATTAGGCCTTTCAAAAAACCAACAGATTTCCATCTTTTTTTGGAGAGGCTTACAGTAAAATTTAAACTTCTATGTAAAATTAACATGCAAAAAAAAGTTCTACATTGGATTTTCCCTTAGACCACAGGAGAGCAAATCTGTAGCACATTACAATTTTTTTTTTAATTAATTTATTTATTTGAAAGTCAGAGTTACACAGAGAGATGAGAAGCACAGAGAGATAGAGAGAGAGAGAGAGAGGTCTTTCATCCATTGGTTCACTCCCCAGTTGGCTGCAACGGCCAGAGCTGCACCAATCCGAAGCCAGGAGCCATGAGCCAGGAGCTTCTTCCAGGTCTCCCACATGGGTGCAGGGTCCCAAGGATTTGGGCTATCTTCTACTGCTATCGCAGGCCATAGGTGGGATTGGAGAGCTAGACTGGAAGCAGAGCAGCCGGATCTTGAATCGGCGCCTACATGGGATGCTGGCACTGCAGGCCAGGGCGTTAACCCGCTGCGCCACAGCACCGGCCCTAGCACATTACAATTTAAGTTGTATGTATCTTTCACAAGGAATGGGTATGGTTTTATATCCTGGGCAAAAAAAGACACTTGAGGATAAGTGTCATTTTCCCTCTTCCTAGGACATACAATCCTGCCCTTTTTTATTATGAACTTATAGAAAAAAAATTTTTAAAAAATGTCATTCATATACATTCTACCATTCCTTATGTTTTATCATATTTTCTTTACCATATACGAATACTTTTTTTTCTGAATCTTTTGAAAGTTGGTGACATTAGGACATTTATACCTAATTCCCTAAAACTAAGGACACTTTCTCACATTATTATATTACCACACATAACAAAATCAATAATTCAGTAATTCCTAATCTGTCCCTAAGTAGTTTTTTTTTTTTTTAATATTTATTTATTTGAAAGTCAGAGCTACACACAGAGAGGAGGAGAGGCAGAGAGAGAGAGAGAGAGAGAGAGGGAGTCTTCCATCCACTGGTTCACTCCCCAATTGGTGGCAATGGCCGGAGCTGAGCTGATCTGAAGCCAGGAGCCAGGCACTTCTTCTGGGTCTCCTACACAGGTGCAGGGGCCCAAGTACTTGGGCCATCCTCTGCTGCTTTCCCAGGCCACAGCAGAGAGCTGGATTGGAAATGGAGCAGCCGGGACAGGAACCAGTGCCCCATGTGATGCCGGCACTGTAGGTGGCAGCTTTACCCTCTATGCCACCCACAGTGCTGGCCCCAAACTATCTTTTAAACATCTGATTTTTTTAAAACATCAGGTTCCTATCAAAGTTTCTGAAAGACATTTTGTTAAATATTTTTTCTCAAAGTTCTAGAAGTTAGTGTTGTTGTTGTTGTTTTTTTTTTTAAGATTTATTTACTTATTTGAAGCTCAGAGTTACACAGATAGGAGAGGTAGAGAGGTAGAGAGGCAGAGAGGCAGACGGGGGGGGGGGGGGGGTCTCTTCCATCTGCTGGTTCATTCCCCAACTGGCTGTAACTGCCAGAGCTGTGCAGATTCAAAGCCAGGAGCCTCTTCTGAGTCTCCCATGTGGGTGCAGGGGCCCAAGGACTTGGGCCATCTTCTACTGCTTTCCTAGGCTGTAGCAGAGGGCTGGATTGAAGTGGAGCAGCCAGGACTCGAACTGGCGCCCATATGGGATGCCAGCACTGGAGGCTGCGGCTTTACCTACTAGGCCAAAGTGTCAGCCCCAGATTTTTTTTTTTTTTTTTTTTTTTTTTACAGAGAGAGAAAGAGAGATAGGGAAGGAGGGAGGAAGCAAGGGAGGGAGGTTTTCCATCCGGTGGTTCACTCCCCCACTGCCTTTCCAGGCCACAGCAGAGAGCCAGATCGGAAAAAGGAACAGCTGGCCGGCGCCGTGGCTCACGGGGTTCTAGTCCTGGTTGGGGCACCGGATTCTGTCCCGGTTGCCCCTCTTCCAGGCCAGCTCTCTGCTGTAGCCAGGGAGTGCAGTGGAGGATGGCCCAAGTCCTTGGGCCCTGCACCCCATGGGAGACCAGGATAAGTACCTGGCTCCTGCCATCGGATCAGCAAGGTGCGCTGGCCACAGCGCGCTGGCCGTGGCGGCCATTGGAGAGTGAACCAACGGCAAAGGAAGACCTTTCTCTCTGTCTCTCTCTCTCACTGTCCACTCTGCCTGTCAAAAAAAAAAAAAAAAAAAAAGAAAAAAAAAGAAAAAGAAAAAGGAACAGCCAGGACTTGAACCTGCACCCATATGGAATGCCGGCACTTAGTGCTTCAATCTTCTATGCCACAGCACCAGACCCCCCCCCCCTTTTTTTTTTTAACAGGCAGACTGGATAGTGAGAGAGAGAGACAGAGAGAAAGCTCTTCCTTTTTCTGTTGGTTCACCCCCTCAACGGGCGCTGCGGCTGGCGCACCGCGCTGATCCAAAGCCAGGAGCCAGGTGCTTCTCCTGGTCTCCCATGCAGGTGCAGGGCCCAAAACTTGGGCCATTCTCCTCTACACTCCCAAGCCACAGCAGAGAACTGGACTAGAAGAGGAGCAACTGGGACAGAATCCAGCACCCTGACTGGAACTAGATAGAACCTGGTATGCCGGCGCCGCAGGTGGAGGATTAGCCTATTGAGCCGCGGCACTGGCCCAGACATTTGTTTTTTAAGTGTCTTGACTTAGAAGTCTCTCTTCCATGAACCACCACCACCATTTTCATCTCCTTCCTTTTTTCCTAGACACCGTCTTGTAAAAATGCCCCACACTCTAGATCTGTCTAGTAACTGTCTGGTGATCTAGCTTAACTCATTCCTTTATGCCTATCAACTCCTAAAGACCAAAAGTTAAAGGCTTCATTCAATTCAGGGTAAAGCTTTAAGGCAATTCTTCACAGGTGAGATGGTGCCCTTTCATTTTTTTTTCTTTCAATTTGACAGGTAGAGTTATAGACAGTGAGAGAGAAAGACAGTGAGAAAGGTCTTCCTTCTGTTGGTTCACCCCCCAAACGGCCGCTATGGACGGCACCGCACCGATCCGAAGCCAGGTGTCAGGTGCTTCCTCCTGGTCTCCCTGCCGGTGCAGGGCCCAAGCACTTGGGCCATCTACTGCTATCCCAGGCCACAGCAGAGAGCCGGATTGGAAGTGGAGCAGCCGGGTGTTGAACTGGCGCTCATAGTCGGATGCCGGCGCTTCAGGGCAGGGTGTTAACCTGCTGCATCACAGTGCTGGCCCCACTATTTTTTTTTTTAATGATTATTTATTGGGCACCAGATTCTAGTCATGGTTGCTCCTCTTCCAGTCCAGCTCTCTGCTGTGGCCCAGGAGGGGAGTGGAGGATGGCCCAAGTGCTTGGGCCCTGTACCCGCATGGGAGACCAGGAGGAAGCACCTGGCTCCTGGCTTCAGATCAGCGCAGCACTGGCCGTAGCGGCCACTTGGGGAGTGAACCAACGGAAGGAAGACCTTTTTCTCCGTCTTTCTATCTATAACTCTACCTGCCAAAAAAAAAAAAAAATTATTTATTTATTTGAAAGAGACAGAGAGAAAGTCCATCTGTTGGTTCACTCCCCAGATACAGCAACAGCTAGAGCTGGGCCAGGCTGAAGCCAGGAGCTTCTTCCAGGTCTCCTCCATGGGTGGCAGAGGCCCAAACACTTGGGCCATCTTCCACGGCTTTCCCAGGCCACAGTAGAGAGCTAGATCCGAAGTGGAGCAGCCGGGACTTGAACCAGAGCCCACATGGGATGCCAGCACTGCAGGCGGCAGCTTTACCCACTACGCCACAGCTCCAGTCCCCTGTCCAGCTTTTTACTGGTGCAATCGGGACAGTGGATGATGTCCAGGTACTTGGGTTCCTGCTGCCTGAATGGGAGACTTGGATGGAATTCCTGGCTCTGGTATGGCTTAGCCCCAGCTGTTGAGCCATTTGGGGACTGAACCAGCAGATGGATGATTTCTGTCTCTCCTACTTACTATCATATGCCTTTCAAATACAATAAACCTTACTATCATATGCCTTTCAAATGCAAAAAACCGAAACACCAGGATGAGACAGCTTTACTGCTGAGTTCTTTTTAAGGAAGAAATAGCACTAATTCTTCTCCAACTATTAAAAAGAAATTTGACAAGGCGAACACTCTTTCAAACTCATTCTACAAGGCGAGCATTGCCAAAACCAAAAATATAACAAAAAGAAAACCATAGACCAATATCCTTGATGAGCATAGATAATAAAAATTTTCAACCTAATATAACCAACACAAAATTCAACAGCACAAAGATATTTACTACAATCAGGGGGGATTATCCCAGGGATGCAAGGATGATTCAACACACACAAATCAATAAACATAACACATTACATCAACAGAATGAAGGATACAAATTATATAGTCATCTCCCCCAGAAAAAATGTTCCATAAAAATCCATTTATGATTAAAAAAATAAAGAGTCTTACAAACTGGTACAAAAGGGACATATCTCAAAATAATGAAGACTACCCACAGTCAATAGCATACTGAATGGGGAAAAGCTGGAAGCATTTCCTGTAAGATTTTTAACTGGCCAAGGTTGTCCATTGCACCACTTTTATTTCATACAGTACTGGAAGTTTTAGCAATAGTCATCAGGCAAGAGAAAATACAAAAGGCATTACAGGGACTGGTGTTGTAGTACAGCAGGTGAAGTGCCACCTGAAACACCAGGATCCTATATGGCCGCTGGTTCAAGTCCTAGCTGCTCCACTTCCGATCCAGCTCCCTGGTAATGGCAAGGGAAGGCAGGGGAAGATGGCTCAAGTGCTTGGGCTCCTGCCCCCAGTGCGAGACACCTGGAAGAAACTCCTGGCTTTGGTTTGGTCCAGCCCTGATCATTGTAGATATCTGGGGAATGAACCCATGGGGTGGAAGATTTTTCTTTGTCTCTTTGTTAGACTCCACCTTTCAAATAATAAACCTAAAAAAAAAAAAAAAGCCTACAAAAAGGAAGAGGAGTCAAATGATCCTTGTTTGCAGACAACATGATTCTCTGAACAGAAAAACCTAAAGACTGCCAAAAGACTGTAGAACTGAAAAACTCTGTAAATTGCAGCATATAAAATTAACAGAAAAAACAAGATCATTTTAATACATTAATAACCAACTTGCTAACAAAGAAATCATGAAAGCAAGCCCACTCACAATAGCTACAAAAGATTAAAAGCCTGGGAATAAACTTAACCAAGGATGGCAAAGACCTCTATAATACAAAGTACAAAACACTGATCAAGGATTCTGAACACACAGGAAAAAAAATGGGAGGAATTAATATTGTTAAACTGTCAGAGATACCTGCACTCCCAGGTTTACTGCAGCACTACTCAAAAAGCCAAAATATAGGATCAACAGGAAGTCCAGCAATGGATAAGGAAAAGGTGTGTGTATATATACAATAAAATATTCAATCGTAAAAAAATGAAATCCTGTCACTTGCAGTAAAATGGATGGAACTGGAGGACATTGCATTAAGTGAAATAAGCCAGACACAGAATGATAAATACCATGTTCCTTCTCATATATGGAGCCTTAATAATGCTCATCTGAAAACAGAACCGTGATTCCCAGGGGTTGGGGTAGTTAAGGGGATGGAGAAGGATAGAGAGAGCTATTAGATAAAAGTAACAAAATACAGCTAAATGGAAGGAATAAGCTCTACTGTTCCACAGCAGTGGGGTTACCACAGTTCACAATAACATACAGTTCAGGAAGAACTAGAAGAAAGGAGCTTAAAGGGTCCAAACATAAAGTAATGGAAATGCTAATTATCTGATCTGATCATACCACACTATGCTCCATAAAAATGTACAAGCATTACATGTTAATAAAAAAGATTATTGAATTCTCAAATTTCTACCATCCAGTTCCAACAATTAGCAATGTTAATATATACACTTATCTCTCCTATTTGAGACTAAATTATTTTAAGTAAATTTCAGAAATTAAGTCATTTTATCAGTAAATATTTTACTATGTATCTCTCAAGTCATTTTTTTTCAACTTGTTTCTCATTATTGCTTTTTCTCTCAAGAAGTCCTTTTACACATTTTTTTTCTACTCATGAAATGTTAACACTACAGATGCATGCATCTGTGCTTTATACATAAAAAGACCAAGATTTTTTTTCACCACTTAAAGATCAACATTCACTCAGTTTGAGGGGTGGGGAAGGATACAGTCTCCATTAAGGATGCATGTTCTAAAACATAAGAACCCTTAAAACAACATAAAGTCCAATACCATTCTCATTCTTAAAAATATTTGACACACTTAAAAAACAAATAATCAGTTGACAACCATGCTACTGCTTTACATACTGAATTATTTTGAAGATATTTTCAATGTTTAACATGTACAAAAAAAAAAACCGACTACCACCGAAATGACATATACCTGACACATTCAAAACAAATCTGCATCCCCAGAAATGTATACACATTATTATGATGATGCTACAGAGTACCTGAAAGTGCTGATTTCAAAGCTTCCATAACATACAGAAGGAATGCTACTTAAAAACGCACACTTCTGGGCCGGCGCCGTGGCTCACTAGGCTAATCCTCCGCCTAGTGGCGCCGGCACACCGGGTTCTAGTCCCGGTCAGGGCACTGGATTCTGTCCCAGTTGCCCCTCTTCCAGGCCAGCTCTCTGCTGTGGCCAGGGAGTGCAGTGGAGGATGGCCCAGGTGCTTGGGCCCTGCACCCCATGGGAGACCAGGAAAAGCACCTGGCTCCTGGCTCCTGCCATCGGATCAGCGCGGTGCGCCGGCCGCGGTGGCCATTGGAGAGTGAACCAACAGCAAAGGAAGACCTTTCTCTCTGTCTCTCTCTCTCTCACTGTCCACTCTGCCTGTCAAAAAAAAAAACAAAAACAAAAACAAAAAAACGCACACTTCTGGGGCTGGTATTGTGGCACAGTGGGTTAAGTTGGCACCTGCGATGACAGCGTTCTGTACTGAAGCACTGGTTCAGGACCCAAGTTCTAGAGACTTCACTTCCTATCCAGCTCCCTGCTAATGTGCCTGAGAAAGCAGCAGAAGACAGCCCAAGTACTTCAACCCCTGCCAGCCATGTGGGAGATTCAGATGGAGCCCATGGCTCCTGGCTTCACCCAAGTCAAGGCTACTTGAGAACCAGAGACCTCTTTCTCTTTGTTTCTTCCTAACTCTTTCAAATAAATAAACAAATCTCTAAAAAAAAAAAAAAAAAAAAAGAGAGAGAGAGAAAAGAAAAGAAAACCGAGCACACCTACAATAACTTATCTTTAGATGATTTTTTTAAAAAGATCATTTGGGTCCCACATGGATGACAGGGGTCCAAGCACTTGGGCCATCTTCCACTGCTTTCCCAGGCACATAAGCAGGGAGCTTGATTGTAAATGGAGCAGCTAAAACCGAAACCAGCACACATACTAGATGCATCCCCTGTGCCACAATGCTGGCCCCATAACTTACCTTAAAAAAAAAAAATACTACTACACTTTTGAGGCCCCAGCCCAGAACCAGAATTTACCAACATTGGGAATATGGCTACAGAATCAGCATTTTAAATACATTCTAGTCAATGGTAGACATACTGAAGTTTAAAAACAAGTGTCATTGCTGGAAGTTGAGAATACTACTTTTCTTCACTCCTATTCCGAGAAATATTTGCATTTCAAAGAACCAAGAGAAGTAGATGATTTTAAACTCTTCAATCCTCTCCTATAAATGTTTAACACTACTCACCCAATAAAAAGGCAGAAGAGCAAGCAAAGACCAAATTACTCCTAGTCCTACCAGGAACCCACCCCGCAGACATCTGCTCTTACATCCCGAGCTTGTCTTTACCTTTGCTTGAGTGAGAGCTGCCTTCTTCACTTGAAGCTGAGACTGCAGAAGCTTGAAGTTTTTGGACCAGCCTTCTGTTTTTGAGTCACTGGTCTCCACTCCTAGATCGTCGTACAAGGACATCTTTTCATTTTAATGCTGAAAGGCAAGAGGGGCAGGGATTAAAGAGTGCAAAATACAATAAAGATGTCAAAGTTTTTCCTTAGCATCATGGAATTCTGCAGGTAAAAGGTCCAGCACCCTTTAGGACGGATGCCAAGACTTAAATCTCCAGTGCAGAGCTTACTCTAGGTATATGAAATTTGACCATAAATTATTTTAAAAATAAATCTCTAGAATTACTTTTCTACCTATAAGATCATGTGTTCAAGTGATTCAAGAATGAAATCCTTTGGTTCCGTGGTATATAATGAGGTTAAGATGGAAAGAAGTTCTAGATTTAGGGAATAATTATTTACATAGATCTGATTTAAAAAAAAAAAATTTGAAAGGCAGAATTACAGTGGGGGGCGGGGGGAGAAGGGAGGAAGATACAGAGATAGGGATCTTCCATCTGCTGGTTCACTCCCCAAATGGCTGCAACAGTCAAGGCCGACCCACACTAATGCTAAGAACTTCAAAATCTATCTGGGTCTCCCATGGGGTGACAAGAGCCCAACCACTTAGGCCTTGGGCCATCTTCTGCTGTTTTCCCAGGCACATTAGCAGGAAACTGGATCAGAAGTGGAGCAGCCAGAACTCGAATAGTTGCTCATATAGGATTCAGGCATCACAGGTGGTAGCCTAACCTGCTGCACCACAACACTAGCCCTATACATATCTGATTTTTAAAAAAATTCCATTTATCTCAATAGCAAAAAGTAGATGCTTAAAAAACACCAATTACCAGGTTTAGTTTACCACAATTAGCTATCCTTTTATAGTAACAACAACAACAAATTAACAATTCTCAAGAATTGTTTGAAGAATATTTGAAGAACAAATAGACATCATCTCAGAAATTCTTTAATTTTGTAAATAATGACTGTTGAGGGGGGAGTGGATGGTTATATCTTAAATACTCTGACTTCCTCACAACCCATCAAGTAGAATTTATAATCTTTTAGGACACTGATTATAAAAGACAATCAACAATCTACATGTGACTGTGCAATAAATACACAATATCGTTGGAGAATAGCTGAATATACAACAACAAAAACAGTATCAGTTAACAGGAGCTAACCTTGTCCAGCCAAGCTCAATGTTAACTGTGATAGGGACCACTAAAACCCAGCAGATTATAGATGTGGCGACCAGGATCTAGGGGATTAATTTGCAAGAGGGTACAATGAAAAACCCCTTTCAAGCCAGTCTTAAGATCATGCTAGTAAATCCCAACTGCCACCTTAAACAACAAAAATCTTTAACATTGTAAAACCCACCAATATGGCCCACTTCTTAGCCCAGAAAGCTTTTTCCCCTAAAAACCACCTTCTACAAAACCCTATTGCAGCCGTGCTCTGTGACTCAGAAGGAGGGAAGGAAAATATTTAAATTTCCCACCCAGGTCTGACTCAGGGCGAATACTTCTCTTCAGTATATTCTTTCCTCTCCACCTTCCCACCGCGGGCAGGGGCCCTGCCTCCTGACGCCTTAGCTGACCTGAGCTGCACACACGCAGGGTAGGGGCAGAGAGTGGACAGCAGCATGGACTCCCTTGGAGCAGCTGCTCCAGTTCTCAGTACAGTCGCTCCCTGCCTGAAGTCAGTGCTGGGGGACACTGCTGCAGTGCTTCAGTGCCCTCACTCCTCCACTCTGATGTTAAATAAAAGGCCTCCAAGGCCACAAGAAGGACCTGAGTTTATAAAAGCAGAGCCCTGGGGTATTGGCAGCTGACTTCTCCCCATAAATATGGCTCCCTGGTAACTCACCAATGCCGCTGATGGCAGCACATCCAACACGGCAGACCCACTGCCTTCAGCACCAACGTCAAATTGATTCAGAAACAGCAATGCTTTGTGACATGAATCTTGAGGCACAGAGGCCAAATCAAGTAATAACCTCCATTCCCTAACAAGGACGTTTCAAATAGGATTATTTCTTCAAAGTTTTGTAAGGAATCCCCCTGGGACTCACTGCTGAACCTATTTCACTCCATTCTACTTTAAGCTATGAAAAGCCAGGTCCAGCTTACCCTGTTCACTGCTCTATCCCCAGATCAACACCCAACCCAGAGCCAAACAGGAAATGGGGTCACACACACAGGTAATACTCAATTCACAGAGCCCTTCCAATCCGTCTCTTCAGAAATTTTTGGGCAGTGATACACACGGCTTCTGAGGCTTCTGTGCACTTTCCTGCAGCTTACCTAGAATTCCAAACTCACCTTCTCATTTAGACACAAACATATCGTTGAACTCTGATCTAGAAAAACTCAGAGCAGAAGCAGAGAAAAACACGGAGTGTTCATCCTGGCACCATGATTCTCCAAACAAACTTAATTCAGAAATGTACTAGCCTTCACCCAGAAACGGCCAGGCACCTCTCACCTAACTCTGTTTCAGCTTTTGAGCCCTGCCTATTCAACTGGTCACCAAATCAAAGTCCAGTAAACCACAGAATCATGTTTTCTTTAATCTTAGGATGGCAAGGGAAGACTAACACAATCTGAGAAACAAATAAACAATGGCACTTTCTGGAAAATCACAAACCATCAAAATTGCATCGCAACTCAAGTCAAACTCTAGGTGTCTATTTCTCTCAGTATCACTTTGTAAGAAACCGGAGAACTTCTTCAAAGATCTTTACAAATATGGTAGTGATAATGGAAACTGGTTAACCAAATACCCATTTAACTTAGGGGAGAGAGGAAGATTACCTTATTCATTTTTGCATCTCCAATGCCTGGTACAGAGTAGGCATTTAAACAGCATTTATTAAAATGCTAACAATGAAACAGAAGTTTACATTAACCACGTAAATCAGTACTGAAACTGAGCAATGTCCACAGGTTCCAGTGCAAGGCAAACAGAGGTGACAGCTGCACAATGTGAGTGCACATAATGCCCAGAACCACAAGCTTACAGAAAGCTAAAATCTTAAGTTTTATGTTTAATATATTTTATAATACACATACAAAGTTTATAAAGAAAAGAATAAGCAAAGGAGCAGCATTGAGGATAGAGGGCTGAGTGAACATTAACGCCAGTACACCTCCCTACCCAGAAAAGTCGACTCTGATGGATAAGTCTCCCGACATTTGGGGCTAAAAATCAAGCAGGGCAGAGGATCTCTGTCTCCAACAGAGTCCTTACATCTACACTTCCATATGTAACAACATTTCATAGCTGAATTAACGAGATTCGATCAGACGATGCTGCTCCTCTGGTTCTGTTTCATTTCTAAATTCCTTTTGATTGCTTTGCTCTGAAAGTTCTAGAACCATCATGCGGAAAAATCTTATGTGCATTTCAAGTTCCTCATTTGTTTTCTCAAACCTTTAAAAATACTTTATATAACAGAAACTGATGTCACCTCACCAGTATCTGCTAGTTTTCTGTAACACAGAGCTTAGAAAGTTGAATCTCTGCACCACAGTAAACACAGAACTTTTTTCATTTTTCTCACTTTCACTGAAGTTCACAGAACTGTACTAATCATAGTAAAAACACAGTTACAATCCACCCACGCATGTTTGGCTTGCTTTTATTAATTATTTCAATACAAAAATCACCTGTGAATTCACCATTCAAAACAAAGACAGGATTTGAACAAGAAACCACACTCAATTATATGGGCTACCCCAACCCATCCATCTGACTTTCCTTGAATCCCATTTGCGTTATTTCCTTGTTTTTCTCCTTTTATATTACTTTATTCACACAATTTTTTTTAAAATGATTTATTTAAAAGCTAGTGAGACAGATGCAGAGAGAGAAAGATATCTCCCAGCTGCTGGTTCCCTCCCCAAATGCCCACAGCAGCCCAGGCTGGACCAGGCCAAAGCTAGGAGGCCCAGAACTCAATCTGGTTCTCATTAGGGATCCAGGTGTTAAAGCCATCATCAACTGCCAAATCCCAGGGAGCACATTAGCAGGAAGCTGGAATTGAGGGCTAAACCAGGACTCGAACTCAGACACTGATGGAGTATCCTAAGGTGTGTCTTAACCGTTACAGCAAATGCTCACCCAGTATTTACACAGTCAAAACGCACCTCTTCTTTAAAAGATGTATTTAATTTTTATTTCTGTTATTTAAAGCATTTATGAATATACCACAGAATGAAGCTGGAATCAGGAGTTGGAACAGGGAAACAAACTCAGGTACTCCGATGTGGGATGCGGGCATCTTAACCACTAGGCTAAAAAATATACCCACTCCTGGAAATTGTTTTTTAAGTCAGCACACAACTGGCATGAAAAAGGGCATGTATAAGTCTCAGAAGCATCCCACCCCCTTTTCTCCCACATGCATCTTAGAAGCTTTAGTAACTACCCTCAGATTACTACCACAAAACCAGCTGGGGTCACAGCAGCTTTACATGCTACGCTGTCTACTACTTTATACTCCTTTTTTTTTGGACAGGCAGAGTTAGACAGTAAGAGAGAGAGAGATGGAGAGAAAGGTCTTCCTTCCTTTGGTTCACCCCCCCCCCCCCAAAATGGCCACTATGGCAGGCGCGCTGCGTCAATCCGAAGCCAGGAGCCAGGTGCCTCTTCCTGGTCTCCCATGGGGGTGCAGGGCCCAAGCACTTGGGCCATGCTCCACTGCCTTCCCGGGCCACAGCTGAGAGCTGGACTGGAAGAGGAGCAAACAGGACAGAATCTGGCGCTCCAACCGGGACTAGAACCCGGGGTGCCAGCGCTGCAGGCAGAAGATTAGCCAAGTGAGCCGCGGCACCAGCCTTTTTTTTTTTTTTTGAGATTTATTTATTTGAAAGTCAGAGTTAGAGAGAGAGAGGAGGAGAAGCAGAAAGAGAGAGGTCTTCCATGCACTGGTGCACTCCCCAGTTGGCCACGACCACCAGAGCTGCGCAGATCTGAAGCCAGGAGCCAGGTACTTCTTCCGGATCTCCCACACAGGTGCAGGGGCCCAAGGATTTGGGTCATCTTCTACTGCTTTCCCAGGTCACAGCAGAGAGCTGGATTGAAAGTGGAGCAGCCAGGGCTTGAACTGGTGCCCATATGGGATGCTGGCACTGCAGACGGCAGCTTTACCCACCACACCAAGCCACCACTGCCTCCCACCCCCATACATAAAAACATCCCTTAAAGATGGGCTGTTTTCGGCCAGCGCTGCGGCTCACTAGGCTAATCCTCCACCTGTAGCACCGGCAACCCGGGTTCTAGTCCCGGTCGGGGCACCAGATTCTGTCCTAGTTGCTCCTCTTCCAGTCCAGCTCTCTGCTGTGGCCCGGGAGGGCAGTGGAGGATGGCACAAGTGCTTGGGCCCTGCACCCGCATGGGAGACCAGGAGGAAGCACCTGGCTTCTGGCTTCAGATCAGCACGGTGTGCTGGCTGCAGCGCGCTGGCCATAGCAACCATTTGGGGAGTGAACCAACGGAAAAGGAAGACCTTTCTCTCTGTCTGTCTCTCTAACTGCCTGTCCAAACAAACAAAAAAAAAGATGGGCTGTTTTCATCCTCATCTTTAGTATCTCTAGATCTCTAGCTTGGCAATATGCTTGGAACACAAAAGCATTCTATAAATATTTGCTAGGGGCCCGTGCTTTGGTGCAGCAGGTAAAGGCACCACCCACAATGCCAGCATCCCATTTAGGCACTGGTTTGTACACTGGCTGCTTCATTTCCCATTTAGCTCCCTGCTAACAGCCTGTGAAAAGCAGCAGAGGAAGGCTCAAGTACTTGGGCCCCTGTTTTCCAAGCGGGAGACCCAGACAAAGCTCCTGGCTTTGGCCTGGCTCAGTCCTGGTCATTGTGGCCACTTAGGGAGTGAACCAGGGGATGCAAGATCTCTAATGCTTTCAAATAAATAAATAAATCTTAAATGTCCGTTGAGTAGGTAGAAATGTATGCATTATTCAAATCACATTATTACGAAACAATTAAATCTGCAGACCTGCTTTTTAAGGACACAAGGCAAGCAGAATTTGAGAGAAGTATCACAAAATAAAACTGCAAACCAAAATTCATCGGAGGAAAAGCTACTACCACCATACAATCACTAAGGAGTCAGGGTGTGAGTTCTAGCACCTAAAGCAGCAGGCTAACACAGCACCTTTTTATCACGAATAGAAATGCAGGCTTCAGCTGCCTCCCTGAAGCCTAAAGAATATGGCAAGTATACACAGAAACAGAAAGGAAATCTGAGCGGTGGCACGCTCTGACATCCACAAACACATAAGCTATCAAAGGGCATCTGCCTCATGTATTAGACCTACTGACTGCTGGAAGAATTTACCATGAATTGCAAAGTCCGCCAGTGCCCCTGGAATTTCGGCGTTTAGCATCCTTGACCATTTTGTTACTATGAAAGGCTCCAGTTTACCAGAATAGGATCACCTCTTCCCTGCGGGGAATAGGGCAAGCTCTGAAAAAATCCACGGCTGGTGAAGAACAGAAAGGTCACTTAAAACAAGCCAGGCAAGAAGAAATCCACTTTAGGTAAAATCACACTCGGGAGTGTACAATTTTCTCAAACTCCCCCATAAAGGAGAGCTTCGGATCCACAGAACTCCACAACAGAACAGCTCTGGGCTGTTAACACTTCTTTTATGCCTTTTACATCTGTCTACCTCACACCCAACTGTCTGTTCTAAAAACTCTACAGTGTACAGCACACTGCTTAATAAATCCTAAAAATAAAATGTTCCCAGTGTAGGCTACTACCCCACATTCCCTAAAAGTCAGTCTACTCAGCCTATATTCAGGAAGAAGGCGGAAACTGAGTTGCCTGCTTGCTAACTTAAACACTGTTAAAGAGAAACACAGACTTCATCTACCACTCCTGCCTTTGCCCCTAGAATATTCTCTTTCCATCCTATGCCTGCTTCTAGGAATAAGTACTTTTTTTTTTTTTTTTGAGATTTAGTTTATTTGAAAGATAGAGAGAGAGAGGTCTTCCATCCAGTGGTTTACTCCCCAAACAGTCACAACGGCCAGCCAGAGCTGAGCCAACTGGAAGCCAGAAGCCAGGAGCTGCTTCCGGGTCTCCCACACAGGTGCAGGGGCCCAAGTTGAGGGGCTTGGGCCATCCTCTGCTGCTTTCCCAGGCACATTAGTCGTGAGCTGCCTCGGGGGTGGAACAGCCGGGACTGCAATTGGTGCCCACAAAGGATGCCGGCTACAGGCCGGGGCTTACACCCGCTGCGCCACAGCGCCAGCCCCGCAACTGGGTACTTTCAGTGGCGCCTTCACAGACTTCTCAAAGGACCTGCCTGCATGATCCGATCCCACTCCTCCTCAAGCCTTTCTCTCTGCCTCACCCGCAGTGTCCGGAACGCGCCAAGTGCTTCACTTCTGCACACTTTGCACCTATTCCTTGTCCAGAGCACCCAGTCCTCACCTTGCACACCCAACACCTCCAGGAGTCGGTATAAGCATCGCCTCCTTTTGGAGGCCTCCCCAAGACCCCGCCGGCTCTCGCCGCTCAGCTCAACCCACGTACGGGTTCTCACGCCTGTCTTCCTAGGGACCAAATTCCTGGAGAGCAAGGATACTCTCACTCACCTCGCATCCTCATCAGGCAAGAGGGGCAGCTCAAAACCTCAAGACTACAAAGGGCCGAGGCAGCGCCGGGATCACGACTGCCTTCACCTAACCCGGCGAGCTCCTGGCTCTGAGAGATGCCAGCACCTGCAACTCTCAGTTCTGAGACCCGGGAAGCCATCGGCTCTTCTCCCTCCATTTCCCGAGCCCGGGAGAGGGGTCGCTGTGCGAGGCCAAGGCGGGGGAGGGGCACACTCCGACCTGCCGCGGTGTGGGAACCGCACACCTTCGTTAGGACACGGCTCCCGTAGAGAAAAAGGAACGCTCTTGTAGTTCCAAACAGACCGAGGCAGACTCGACGGGAGAAGGCTAGAGTCTGCGAGCGGAAGGCGTGGAGAAGACGGACCACAGGGCGGGATGGAGACGGCGCGGCACTGCGGGAGGGGCCCGCCGTGGAGGGGAAGACCCTCCCCCGGGGGGCTCGGGCTGACCAGGCCGGAACGCCCCCGCCTCCCGCTGCACGGCCCAAAGCCGCGGCCTCGCGCCCAGCGTCCCCCGGGAAGCGCAGCCCACCTCGCGTCCCCGCTGTCAGGCTGCCCGCCCGCGCCGCGAAAGCGCCACTTACCCAGCCCGCTGCGCCGACTTTACCCATGAGCCAGGGCGGCGGCAGCGCGGGGCCGGGCCGCACTCACCGGGAACATGCAAACGCTAGCCCACGGCGACAGCCCACCCGCAACCGAAGAAGCAGGGCGCTCCGCGGCGCGGGGCAGGGAGTGCGGTGGCCGACGGGAAAAGCGCGCCTGAGCGTGCGCTCGAGCCTCGGGCGTCTGGCCTCACTGCCCCCTCCCGGTGGGAGGACCACACAGCAGGGTCGCCTCCACTGGCGATCTCTTCCACCAAGAGGTGGCGCCGTGGCGCAAGGTTTCCAAAGTGCAAGTTTGAGGAGCGTGGACCCTAAATGCTGGAGAGAAATGGTCCCACGCTTTGCTCTGTCGTCGGGGAGGAGAGAAAGCTCCCCACCCAAGGTTCGCAGCCATTTAAAACCAGTAGTTTATATGTTAAAAAAAAGCATGCAAATAAATCTCCGTAGGGGAAATACTACAAGAGAATGGCAGCCAGCATTGAACTAAATGTAAACCACAATAACATGCCGAGATCCAGTGTGTGGGTGGGTGGGTGGCACAGCGGTTAACACGCAGTTTGGGATGCCTTCATCCCATACAGGAGCTCCTGGATCGAAGTCCTCACTTCCCACGTAATTCCAACTTCCTATTAACGTGCACCTTGGGAGGCAGCAGGGGATGGCTCAAGAACTTGGGCCCCTGCTACTCACGTAGGAGACCTGGATGAAGTTCCTGGCTCCTGGGTTTGGTCTGGCCCGGCTCATACTGTTGCAGACATTTGGGGGAATGAATTACTGGTTGGAAAATCTCTCTCTCTCTTCTTTCTCTCTCCACTGACTCCCTGCTTTCAAATAGATAGTATATGTTATAATAGAATAAGGTAAAGGTTATAAAGCCTCTCAATTTAAAAGCAATGTAGGCCGGCGCCGGGGCTCACTAGGCTAATCCTTCCGCCTTGTGGCGCCGGCACACCGGGTTCTGGTCCTGGTCGGGGGCACCGGATTCTGTCCTGGTTGCCCCTCTTCCAGGCCAGCTCTCTGCTGTGGCCCGGGAAAGCAGTGGAAGATGGCCCGAGTGCTTGGGCTCTGCACCCCATGGGAGACCAGGAGAAGCACTTGGCTCCTGCCCTCGGATCAGCAAGGTGCGCTGGCTGCAGCACCGCCAGCCGAGGCGGCCATTGGAGGGTGAACCAAAGGCAAAAGGAAGACCTTTCTCTCTGTCTCTCTCTCACTGTCCACTCTGCCTGTCAAAAACAAACAAACAAAACAAAAAACAATGTAATTAAAAAAAAAGTTGAAAGGGGAAGGGAGAATGGACTTCACATGAATATAATTGTCACTTTTTTTAAAAAGACATAGTATTTAAAGGCAGAGTTATAAAGAGCCAGAGAGAGAGAGAGGTCTTCATCTGCTGGTTCACTCCCTGGATGGCCACAATGGCCGGAGCTGTGCTGTTCCGAAGTTCAGAGCCAGGACTTCCTCTGAGTCTCCCACGCGGGTGCAGGGGCCCTAGCATCTGGGTTATCTTCTACTGCTTTCCCAGGCCATAGCAGAGCTGGATTGGAAGTGGCACAGCCAGCACTTGAACCGGCACGCATATGGGATGGCGGCACTGCAGGTGGCAGCTTTACCTGCTCTGCACAGTGCCGGCCCCAAGTGTCACATCTTTAACTGAGTGTCAAAAGGCTTGCTGCTAAATGATCAAGTAGTAGAAATTTAAGCAGATGTCTTAATTCAAAGAATCATACCAATAAAGATAATTTTAAGGTACTTTGAAAATGTCATGGCAATGGAACTAAAAGATAAGTTTATTTTGATGCAAATAAGTTTTGAAATTCATGTACAGTCATAAAATCAATTTAAATTCATGATCAAGAAAGTGGATGTGGGGCCAGCACTGTGGCATAGCAGGTTAAGCTGCCATCTGCAATGCCAGTATTCCATAGGGTGCCGGTTCAAGTCCCGGATGCTCCACTTCTGACCCAGGTTCCTGCTGATGCACCTGGAAAAGCAGCAGAAGATGGCTCAAGCTCTTGGACGCCAGCAGATCCATGGGAGACCTGGATAAAGCTCCAGGCTCTTGGCTTTGGCCTAATCCGCCCTGGCAATTGCAACCAATTTTCTCTCTTGCTCTGTAACTCTGCCTCTCAAATAAATGACATAAATCTTAAAGAGAGAGAGAGAGAGAGAAAGAGAGAAAGTGGATAGAATATGGGGAAAGAAAAATACAGTGGGGAGGCATATACAACCCAAAGAAATAGAGGATTAAGAGCATCAGGTGGTTATATTATAATGTCACTCAGAACAAAAATGCACATCTTTCAAATGATCAGGAAGCACACACACACACAACAGCAAAATGAAGTAACATCACAAAGTATCTGAAAAGTTAAAAAAAAAAAAGTAAACTAAGACCAAATGCTCACATGAATAAATTTGTAAGTGACCTATACTCACTATTAAAAAGACAATGATCAGATTGGAGCACAAACCACAAATTCACTCTATATTGTATACAAGAAAGTCTCCCATTTCAGGCATAGAAAACCAAGAACTGTGGCAAAAAATGATCTACATGAAAGATCTCTGTGAGTGAGGTCCCGGTGGAAAGCAGGGGCCATCAAAGAAGGAGGTACCTTTCTCTGAAGGGAGGAGAGAACTTCCACTTTGATTATAGCCCTGTCTAAATAAGGTCAGAGTTTGTGGATTCAAAAGGTTTCCATAGCCATGGCAGCTCATGACAAGAGCCTCAGGTGATTACTGAACTCATAAATAAGAGTGTCAATTGTTAAATCAACAACAGGAGTCACTGTGCACTTGCTCCCATGTAGGACCTCTGTCCTTAATGTGTTACGATGAGAATTAACAGTAAAACTAGTCTTCAAACAGTACTTTATACTTGTGTGTGTCTGTGTGGGTGCAAACTGTTGAAATCGTTGCTTAGTATAGAGTTGGTCTTCTGTATATAAAGATAATTAAAAATGAATCTTAATGAAGAATGGATGGGAGAGGGAGTAGGAGATGGGATGGTTGGGGGTGGGAGGGCAGGTATGGGGGGAAGAACCATTATAATCTGGAAGTTGTATCTATGAAATTATATTTATTAAATAAAACTTCCTATAAAAAAAGAAAGAAAGGGCTCCCATAAAACGATTCTGAAAGCTCAAACACAAGACTGGAAAAGGTAAACCAGAAATACACAAACGACAAGCCATCAGGACTTGCAAACAAGGTTCAGTTCAGGCAAAACAGTTGAATAAGTTTTAAAAGAGCATTTTATAAAATGAAAACAAATTCACCAGAAAAAAAAAAATAGGAAAATCTATGCACCGAATCACACTATAGAGTAAATGAATAGAACAGAATTAATTGGTACCACTTTTGCCGATTAAGGGCACAAAAATCAATGGAGAATTGAAAAGACTTCAAAATATAATCACTGGGGCAAATCTCTATATCAAACTCTGTGCCCTGAAACAAACATTGCATCTTTCAAGTGTTCATGGGACGCATGAGAATAATCTAATATTTCACAAGTAGAGCCATCTGGATAATATTCTGATCACAATCAAAACTGGAGATTAACAATAAAACGGAAATAAACATTCCCACTCCTTGGAAAATTTTAAGTGTTGAGACAAATTGGATCAAAAAAGGAAACTTAAACCAAAATAGCATCATACCAGAAAGGATGAAAACAGCAGAAACATGCAATTTAGCTCAAAAGGTTTAAGAGGAGAGTTTAAGGTTTACATTTTGTTATTACTTTAAAAAGAAGAATTGATTACGTGAACTAGGCACCTGTGCAAGAAGCTAGAAATGGAAGAAAATAAAATTGTGCAGAGTAGAAGTAATTTATAAAGGAAAAAGCAAACACCGTGTTGGCGTAGACACAAAAAGATGAAGGGCAAAGATAGAAGTGTCTAACGGAGTCTTGTCCCACCTGCTGATCAAAGCAGAAGTGGGTGTGCGAAGGTCTGATTCTGGGGCCGGAGCCTGAGGGTCTCCGTCCACATTGAATCTGCTCTCTCTCTCTCCTCTCTCTCTCTCTCTCTCTCTCTCTCTCTCTCAAGTCTCCACGCGGAGTCCATTTTCTGCACTTTTCTCTCCCACTTTTGGGTGGAGTTGGGTGCATTCATTCCCAAATCATTCAGTTTACACATTCACAGACAATTTTGACTGAGAGACCACAGATGCAGTCACGTCCATTGTCTGGGAACCTTTATGGTTGGATTCTCCAGAGGAAAATCTTACTTCCCTCATCTCCTCGAACATGGAAGTACTTCTCTTGCCTCATTTCCTATCGACAGTAGCAAATAATCGCCTTATTTCACCAATCGAGAAGCTGAGGCTCTGTACAACGGAGGAACCTAACCCGATCATGCACCTGTTGGCAGCATAAGCAAAAATGTCTGGAAGAGGGACAAACCAAATGGTTCAGGGAACCGAGTAGGACTGAAGAGCAAGTGTGCATAGCAGCCCTAGACAAACAAGTCGTGGATTTCTCCTGCAGTGCTCAGCAACCTGGAGGGAGGACAGCAGGAGGCAGATGTAGAATAGTCAAAGACCAGAAATCCAGGCTTGATGTGCTGCTA